CCCCTCCCGATAACCTGTAGGGACTTTTCGATGTCTCCCCCACCAATTAATATTTAATTTGTTCGTTTATGAACACAACTACACAACATAAATTCAGTCACTCTATACCGTTCCAAGTGTCTACTCCGCGCGTGTGCTTGTCTCATATTCAGTGTTAAAATCATAATTATTTCTCAGTGCGTAAAATAAATATGGCTGGTCCAATTGAAAATATGGAAAATATTTACAAGAAAACTTACAAATATACACCACCATCGCCGCCAGCTAATCTGATCGACTGCAGTAACTTGACTATTGATTTCACGGCTCGGAAGTTTTTAAACATTGGACTAGACCCTACCGATGAATTCAAAGCAGCGGTTCATATTATAACTGCTTCGCGGTATATATTCCCGTCGATTTTCTGGAACGCATATTCAGACTTATGGGAAACATTCTATCGTTCGTACTTGACCGTCCACACGAACACAAACGAATTTTATTTTTGGAGACAGAGTCAATTACAATGTCTAGTATGATATATAAATCGGAGAACACACTTGTTTTAGAATCGAAAACTCAAGACGGATGTCGCGTTTTGTTAAATCGTACAGATCTATTGGTCTTACAAGATTTAGAATGTGCTATTTTTGAAATTATTAAAAGAAAATCCGAAATAGTTAAACCAATCGTACTTCATCATGTCGAACTAATCGTCACATTCTTAAAAATAAACGTACCGATACAAAGCTCAGTACTCGAAATATTGAGAACTCATGTGAGAAACATCGATAATAGCTTTATCCAAAGTCATGTTATTGATAAGGCAATGCAATATGGTATTAGTCAGAGCAATTACATTTACACAAATCAAGTAAAATTATACGCAACTGATTATATCGTACAAAAATGGATGGACAAAGTGAAAAAAGATGAGGTATGAATATTTTTTTAATAACTTATATTATTATGTTATGTTAATAAACTGAATTTTTATAGGGATACAATAGCGAGCGTTCTATGACTTTTTCTCCACCATCGTTCATCAGTTTACATGGACAGGTAATAAACAGTTTTAAATTGTATTCACAAAACATATTTTAATTTTAAATATTTTCAGGAAAATCTATCATTAGTCTCGCCCTTGTCCCCGCCAGCACAAGAGAGCTACCTCGAGAACAACCAGGAAGGCTTTTCGGTAAACGATGGACCATTTGGACCACAATATAATTAATTATTTTTATACTAATTTAATTGTTTTTTGTCTAAAATAAAAACAAGCGTGATATTTAAAAACAAGTTTTTTTTTTTTTATTTAATAATAATAAGGTTATAATATATATATATAGCATAAGGTCACAATATTTTACAAAAAAAAAAAATATATAAACATTTTTACAATTTTCTAACTTCGCCACTAAACGGGCTATAAGTTATAATCTGGTCATGTAATATTAAGCAGTACGCTGTAGTTTTTGCTGGAATAATTGTATCCGTCTCAAATTCAATACGCAGGTCTACAGTTGACGACTTCACATTGTCGTTTTGACACGATAAATCGACGACGATGATTGGTGAATAGTTTTGAAAAATATGTTTTGATAATAATGGTTCGCTGTACTCTTTCTCATAATACGATTTTTGAAAGTCTGTATAGGCCTTATACAGTATACTAGTTGTATTATTTTTAAAATCAGCACGAAAGTCTTCATATGGATACACTTCAGAATTTAAGTGAACTTTGAGATTTTTTAACTGACAGTGATCAAAGCGCCCGGCGTCTGTCTCAATATTTCTTTTACGATCTGTTTGTAATCCAAACAACACAAACCTAGGTTTTTCTAACAAGTTGCTGGACTTTACTGTCCACGAATGTGAAGTATTCCTAGGAAGAATGGGATACTCGTTAAGATCCCACGTGCGGAATGCACACGATAGTGTTTTACAAGAATCTATCACTTTTATCAACTTTAATTTTTCTTTATCACTAACTTTGATAATAGGCATTTTCCAAGCTACCTTAGTAAGTTCACTTGTAATTTTTTTATTGTTTTCAACGGCTCCGCTTGCACCCTCGCCAACAACGTGTATCGCGTCCAGATCGGTAGACGCCCGATTTAAAATCAATTGTTGATTACAATTAAGTAATATTTTTTTATAGTCTTCACAAAATCCGAATAAATGTTTTAGAGGGATACACCCGGTAAATACATTGCTGCTCATAAAGTTTTTATTATCTTCGCCATCCATAGCCGAGTCCCAAGCAGCGCTCTCTAACGTATTCAAATCGTTTGGAGTATACGAACAGTATGCTTTTAAGCAAGATGAGACTCCAGGTGTTTTTAATTTCTGTATTACTACTCCATTTATTTCATATCGCATTTCGGAGAATAAAAACGCCAATCCATTATTTGAAAAACGTACTTCTCCAACAGCATCGGCAGGTTTATTTACTCTCCCCTCTATGTAAATATAGCTTTCACACGGTAAAGTGTACGCATCCATATTTAAAACACTTATCTTAATTTCGTCGTTATTCGATAAAGACAGGTTCGAGTACGGAGTGAACGAATGATAATGCTTTTGCGTTATTTTACACTCGTCGACATAATCGACCCCAACGTCTAAATACGAGTCGTCCATAATTATTTTTTTTATACTTGCAACGAACGTAGAAAATTTAAATTATTTTTCGTGAGCTTGATTTCGCTTTTTTTCGGTTTAGATGTTGACTTCTTAACAGCAGTCGGTAAACTGACTGGTTTTTTGATTGTAGATCTTTTTATATTAAACTTTAGTGCCATTTCCACACGTTATTTGTAATCGAATCATAATTGG